CCAGATGCAGTGGCTCATACTTACGATTTCAGCACTCTGGGATGCTGAGGCAGGAGGATCACTTGAGTCCGGGGGTTTGAGACCAGTTCAGGCAATATGACAAGACTCTGTCTTTACCAAGAAATTTTAAAATGAGCTGGGCACGATGGTGCATGCCTATTGTCCCAGCTACTCGGGAGACTGAGGTGGGAAGATCGCTTGAGCCTGGGAGGTTGAGGCTGCAGTGAGCTGTGATTGCGCCACCGCTCTCCAGCCTGGGTGACAGAGTGAGACCCTGTCTCAAAAAACAAAACAATACAAAAGACTGAATGTTCTCCATATGGTCCCATTTGGTCATGGAATGATTTGTGGTGGATTTTCCTCCACTCTTCAGCATTCCCTCCATAACCTGTGTCTGACCATGAGCTACATGCTATTTACGCAGAAAAGATATGATCCTGAACTGGGTGGAAGGCTTCTGCCCAAGTGCATGGACACCAAAATGTGTGCTGAGGGAAGTCACACATGATCTTCTCAAGCAGCTTTTGACTTCCCTCAGGATCATAGATGGCTGTGTTCACAAGTAATTATTGCCAACATCCCATATCTTCTGACTATGAAGGTGAAAACATGTGCTTTGTGTAGAGTTGGGTGAGACCCTTGTTTCTGATTTCTAAACACCTACTGCTTTGAGGAAGCTTCCATCATCCTAACTGTTGTCCAGGCAGAGGTTGAGAGGGAAAGGTTTGGAGGGCTAACAGGCAAATCTTTCTCAGTTCAATGGCTTCCTTGCTATAAGCCAAGTTGGCAGAGCTTTATTAAGGAGTGTTACTGTGGCTTCCTTCAAACTTGATGCATCAATTGGATGGACCCTTATGCAGGGCTCTTCCTCACTTGGCTACAACTATGGCTCAACTCTCAAGCAAAGCAGATGTTTATAAATAACTGGACATAGGTATTTATTTATTTATTTATTTGAGATGGAGTCTCACTCTGTTGCCCAGGCTGGAGTGCAGTGGTGTGATCTTGGCTCACTGCAACCTCCACTTCCCAGATTCAAGTGATTCTCCTCCCTCAGCCTCCTGAGTAGCTGGGATTACAGGCACCTGCCACCATGCCCAGCTGATTTTTTTTTTTTTTTTTTTTTTTTTTTTCTGAGATGGAGTTTCACTCTTCTTGCTAAGGCTGCAGTGCAATGGCTCGATTTCAGTCCACCACTACCTCTGTCTCCTGGGTTCAAGTGAGTCCCCTGCCTCAGCCTCCTGAGTAGCTGGGATTACAGGCATGTGCCACCATGCCCGGCTATTTTTTTGGTGTGTTTTTAGTAGAGATGGGATTTCTCTATGTTGATCAGGTTGGTCTCGAACTCCCGACCTCAGGTGATCCACCTGCCTTGGCCTCCCAAAGTGCTGGGATTACAGGCGTGAGCCACCGCGCCCAACCTATTTTTTTGTATTTTTAATAAAGACGGGGTTTCATCATGTTGGCCAGGCTGATGTCGAACTCCTGACCTCAGGTGATCTGCCCAACTCAGCCTCCCAAAGTGCTGGGATTACAGGTGTGAGCCACCGTGCCCGGCCTGGAGGTAACTTTAAATCAAACACTCAGCAAATAATTGACTTCTCTGCAGGCCCATTCTTTTGCTGAAGCATAACCATAGCATCAAGAGGCTTCCAACCTGGTGAAAATCATGCAAGGGATGGGATGAGAAATGGCAGAGATCAGTTGATGGTCCCGAGACACTCTGACTTCCACAAAACCTCAGCAGCTTCTAGGTCTCTAATATGCTTTTGTGTATGTTTGTGAGAGAGATACCGAGATTTCCCATCACAATGTGTTTGATTTCCTTGCTCTTCTCTCCATCTTGGCAGCTTGTATACATCAGAGCAAATCTACATATGACTTAATGATTTATCTGCAACTTGAGTCAAGAGTTTTGCTCATTTGCAGAAACATAAATTATCTCCAAACCATGTTTTGAGGCTGCATGTAACCAAATTTTAAAAATGAAAACTTATTTTAACTAAGTGGTGAGCAGGAGTTGCTTTAGTAGCTAATGTGTACCGAGTACCTGCCATGGCACTTTACATCTATTCTCTTTAATCCTTACAATCTCAGCAGGTCACCATTTCCTTGACTTACGCAAGGAAACTAAGGCTTAAAAGATGAAACCACTTACCTACTGGATATGAAGCTAGTGTTTGGCACCTGGACAGTCTAATTCTAGAACCCAAACTCTGAATCATTACCTTCTGATGCCCTAGAAAGTTTGAATCAATCTTTCTGTTGTTGGGTTTTCTGGTAAAAACTGGAAAATTCCAAAAGAAAAGATTCTGATATTTGAATCAATTTTAGTCCAGCCAATTTCTTTCCTGTAAACTACCAAGTACAAGACTATTTCACCTGGTTTTAGTTCTTGGTAAATATATTTTTTTAAATTTCTATGGCACTTCCGCTTCTGCCGAGGTGGTGCCAGAGCCACAGTCATGAGTTGCTTCAAGTTTATCGGTAAGAAGAGCATTTTCCCTAGTCACTGGGTCTTTCTGATCGGTCCAGGGCGTCGCTCACCAAAGCCACAGGGCCCAGGACTTGTGCTCTCTGCCTTTGTAACGGTTGAAATGGCCACTCAGTGGAAGAGGGCGCGGGAAGGTTTCTGGGTGCTGGTAATGTTCTGGTTCTTGATCTAAATCCTGGATTCATGAGTATTTATTTGTGAAAATTAATCCATACAGTTATGATTTTTGTGCTCTTTAAAAAAAAAAACGTTCTATGAATGGAACATAGCAGAAACTGGAGAAACTGCCTACAGGAGCTATCCTGGGCTGTCTTGTCCTATATTGTCTTAAGAGTTGGCTGGGCACGTTGGCTCATGCCTGTAATCCCAGCACTTTGGGAGGCCGAGGCAGGTGGATTGCTTGAGCAGGAGTTCGAGATCAGCCTGGGCAACACAGAGGGACCCCATCTCTACAGAAAATACAAAAAGTAGCTGGGTATTGTGGCATGAGCCTGTGGTCCCAGCTACTTGGGAGGCGGAGATGGGAAACTTGTTTGAACCTGGGAGGTTGAGGCTTCAGTGAGCAGTGATGGCACCACTGCACTCCAGCCTGGGCGAGAGCCAGATCTTGTCAAAAAACAACATAACAACAACAAAAAACATACTCCTCGGCCACAAGGTTCTGTGGGAAAGTCAGGATAGGACCCTACAAGTAACCAAGGTCCAGCCCAGTCCTGGCCCCCTCCTTCCCTCTGCACTGCAGTGCTTAGAACAGCCTCCTAGGGGTGAGCCCTGACGCCTCAGCACTCCTCTCCTTCTCAGCTCCCTGTTCATAGACACATTTTCTGAAAGACCTGGAGCATGCCAATTCTACCAGGCATGTTAAGCTAGATACTTTTAAGTGAGGTAGGGAAGGTGGACAGTGAATGTGGCTCCTTTAGGGGTTTCTTTGTCCCCTGCCGCTTTAAAATCTTCCGGAGAGTGTCGTCAAGAGGGCATATGGTTAACTATGAGCCAGGTGAATTTAGGAAACCGCTTTCCTTAGGTTGGTAAGCCAGGGTGCGAAGATGTGGTATTTCCTTGTAAGACCTTTTAAATTTCAATACAATGTGGGATAATATGTCAGTAATCCAAGAGGGTTGCTCAGAAGAGACCCAAACTAAGACAAAGTTAAATTTCAGGAAATACAGTGTGTATGATGACATTTCTTTTTCCCACTTCAGCTTTATGTAGGTTTCCATTTTTGAGTCTATCAAATTGTTCTGGCTTTTTTTTTCTTTTTATAGCTGTAGAAGGAATGGGAAAAACAGAAATGGTATTAACAAGCAATTCATCGAAAATTAGGTTCTGGGGCCGGGCACAGTGGCTCACGCCTGTAATCCCAGCACTTTGGGAGGCTGAGGCAGGCAGATCACGGGGTCAGGAGATCGAGACCATCCTGGCTAACACGGTGAAACCCCGTCTCTACTAAAAAGTACAAAACATTAGCCGGGCGTGGTGGCGGGCGCCTGTAGTCCCAGCTACTCAGGAGGCTGAGGCAGGAGAATGGCTTGAACCCAGGAGGCGGAGCTTGCAGTGAGCCAAGATCGCATCACTGCACTCCAGCCTGGGTGACAGAGCGAGACTCCGTCTCAAAAAAAAAAAAAAAAAAAAAAAACACACCAAAAAATAAAAAACAAAAAACATTACCTTCCAGATTGGTATGGTGGCTCATGCCTGTAATCCCAGCACTTTCGGGGGCCACGTTGGGCGGATTATGGTCAGGAGCTCGAGACCAGCCTGGCCAATATAGTGAAACCCCATCTCTACTAAAAATACAAAAATCAGCTGGGTGGGTGTGGTGGTGCACACCTGTAGTCTCAGCTACTCGGGAGGCTGAGGCAGAAGAATCACTTGAAGCCGAGAGGCAGAGGTTGCAGTGAGCCGAGATCGTGCCACTGCACTCCAGCCTAGGCGACACTGTGAGATTCTGTCTCAAAAAAAAAAAAAAAAAAAAAGTTCTTGGCCAGGGATAGTGGTTCATGCCTGTAATCCCAGCACTTTGGGAGGCCAAAGTAAAAAGATCACTTGGGGCCAGAAGTTCAAGACCAACCTGACCAACACGGCAAGACTCCATCTCTAAAAATTAAAAAAATAAATTAAAAAGGTTCTAGGTAATCTTTTTGTATATTCTCAATTCTTAACACTAAAGAGTTGTGTTATCCCTTGATACAGATTAAGGCCTCAAGGTTTAGATAAGTTCACAAAGTTTGTAAATAATAAGGTAAACTTTAAATCCACACCTGAACTTGTTTGCCTTTAGACAACACTGCCTCCTCAAGTTCATGTGGAAACAGGCTAAAAGTTTTATCCTATGAAGTATGCAATTGTAGATTCTAAATACTAATCAAAGGATGGAATGAATACCATCAGAGGAGTCAGTGGCTCCAGAATAGCACCCATGTGTTAAAAATGTTTTCCTTATGTCAGAGTAAACCTGAATGGGCAATCAATCTTAAGTTATAACTGAGGTACAGAGGGGTATTTTATCTAGAGAAAAACACAAGACCAGGTTTATTTCATACAATGTTATTCACACATTTTTCATTTTCTAATTTATACATAATATACAAAGAAGTGAAGTTAACATTATTTCATATGAACCAATAAGAGCCAGGACTTAGACAAACTGGTCCAGAAACAATCCCTATCAAAAGGAGACACTCAAGAGTAAAGCCTAGGTAGTTTCTGCCCAATTCTTTCTTTATTCTGAAACGTGATTTTCAGATTTTAACAAAATTTCATGCGAACTTACTAAAAGGTAAAAATTGGGGTGGGCACCCAAAATGGCAGACTGTAAAATTTCTACAAGAAAGGTATTTTTGTAGAGCAGGCCTGAAAGTACTGGGAAGATTGGGTTGTCAGCACTGGGACACATGGGAATATCAGGACCCCAAGGAGAGGGTTTAGTTTCTCAATGTAGTATCTCTACTTGTCATTTTCTAAAATTGCAGATAATGCCTGTGCCAACAGAGGGCAAGGATGAAGGAAGACTAAGAATTCAACTGTACAAAGACAGGAAAACCACTATCAATCTCCAACATGACAGCTATGATCCTGAAACCATGGGCTGATACTGAGAACAAAAGTTCGACATGGGCTGAAATACTCTGAGGTTGGTAATGTAGGAAAAAGTGAGAGACTGGCTTTGTGTGGGTTTAAAAAAAATGAAGCACACACAAGGCGTTGCTGCAGTGACTGGGACCGGCTGATGACCCAGTATGACCATGAGAAGGAACGGAGACAAGTGTTTGGATTTAATGGCCTCACCAAGGAATGTTGGGTTAGAAAACTAAAATAACTAAACACCAAACATGAAAAAGTATGCCTGGCATCCCCAAACTTTATGCCATTATTTTTAGGTTCATAATATGAATAACTAAGTGATAAAACCTTTAGATTCCATATTGTGCTCAGAAGATTGCTTTTCTTCTGCAGATCTCTAGTAAAAAAGATTTCTTCCATATTCAGCCGACAGAGATAGCATGTTCATTTTAGTTTTCAGCACTAAACATAACTGGGTCAACATAAATGTTTATACAAAATACTGACTTCAACAAAATACAAAGCACTTTCTTTATCTTTCAGAAACTGAATATACACAGCAAGTTTTTTTCCAAAATATTTTCATAGGCAAAGGATTAAAAACGATTTTAATTATACACATATGGTCACAATTTTGCCTTAAAAAGATTGTTGGGAAATGTACATAAGGCCGCTTGTAAATGTACATCGTGTTACTGTTATGTCTTATGTCCAGAGAAAAAAATGTTATCATACAGATTTGCTCTTACTTGGGAGTAGGCTATTCAAAAATACAGTACTCTTCTGTACAAAGAAAAAAGTCACATCACATTTAATAAGATGAAAAAAGCATTGGCCTCCATGGTAACCAAATATCTCAGTCCAATACTTTCTATTATGCACAATACCCTGACTTCAATTGAAAGTGATCCAAATTCTAGCATGTCCATATTAACAGTCAACAACTATGTTATAAAACAAAATGATCTCACAATAAAAAAAAGAAAGCTGGTTCATACTTCTGAAACCATATAAAGATAAAAAATTTTTAAAAAATCACTCTCGATTTGGAGAAATAAATTTACATTATACAACACTATATTGCCAGGTCAAAGAGGGCAGGGACGTAAATGTACACTAAAATGCAAATGTATCCCAAAGAGATAAAACAAATTCCATTTACAGCATGAAGGTTTACAAATGTACACCTGTACAACCAAGGAAAGCATCACTACTAAATTAGCAAGGCTTTTATAATAAACATTGAAACAAGATTTCCTTTCAAAGTGTAAACTTACATCTATTACTACACACACAATGCATATATTTATAGAAAGCAAAAAGAGCTATCTGAATATGTAATCATGCTTAAATGCTGAGCTATCAAATTCACTTTTCAGTGGCCCCTTTTCATCTCTATCTGGTTCCTACTTTCTGCCTCTATGAAAAAGCAAAATAAAGCTCAACACTTCCTCAACAAGTCTGTAATTCTATAAGCAAAACAAAATACAAATTTCCACTCTTTCTCATTGCAAACCAAACTGAAAAGTTAATAAGTGACTTAACTTTTCATTTAGTGCACTAAATTGGAAATGTCACCATGATTTTGTATTTAACTCTTACAACAATTACATATGTAAGTATATACAATATTTCTGTACATTGCCAGAGACATTTTAGGGCAGTAATTGTATTAAAACCACATCTACTGTAAATAATGTTAAGTTCTTTTCATCTCAAACCACTTTATTTTTGTCTTACTTGCTCGTTATTTGCATGATAGTTTGTGAATTATCAAAATACAACTTAACTTTTTAAAATATTAATAATATTTATGCAGTTGATTGTTAATCTGTTATAAAAGGTTTCACGCAAAGGAAAAAAATAAGGACTATAATTCTATATACATCTCTATAAACCTGTTGTGCTATGGGGTTGTAGACCTACCAGACTGTGAGCCAGTTTATTAAAAGAATACTGTACTTTTTCCTTTAAAAACTATTTTTGTGACTTTACAAGGTAAAAATTTACAAAATATGTGACAGCTTTTTATTTTTGATACAGTTACATCATATACAGGCATTCTGTGCTTTGCCAGCAATCCAATCTGATAGGTCTCCACTCAGGGCTGAATATAATTTATAATTCATCCCCCACCCCCCAAATATACACAAGAACCTTAAAAAATTTACAAATGGATGAATAAAGTCAATAAATAGTTTTGCTTTAAAAAAAAAATTGAAGATTCATAGTTGAGTTGTGTTTTGATAATTCACACACAAAAAAATTCTTTTCACATGGTTAAATTATCTTCTTTCTCGTGCTCCTGTAATTTACAGCATTCCATTTGGTGGTCCTCCAATAGGTCCTAGGTCCGGGCTATTCTTCAAATAATACTTCTCCAACTTGGCCAATATATGCTTCCCATATGTGTATTTGCGCAAAGTAGTAATGTGAGGTCGAATCTGAAAAACAAATAATCTGCTTAGAAAATGTAAGTCATTTTAGTTTCTGATTTCTTAAAAAAGCACCCCCAATTTTGGGTAATTTAGAGGAATAATTGCAATTAAAAAAAATTTAAATCCAAAGAAAGCCACTTTTTGCAAAAGCAGTTGTGATCCGCTCAATCCCTCCAAACAACATCTGTTCTCAAAATTGTTCAATGAATAAAACACTACATCTAACTATGTCACATGGAAACAGGCAGAGGCCCCAAATATAGCAAGTTACCCCGTAATTCCACAACCAGGAATTTATTCTACCAAAACAATTACAAAAAGACTTTTGTACAAAGCACTACTGATAACAATTAAACAATTAGGGACAATCCAAATATAATAAATATGATACCAGTCAAATAAATAATGTAGCTGTTAAAAATAAGATTGCAATTTTTTATATTCATTAGTTTACAGCAGAAACACTGAATTAAAAGATAGGTAGACACTTAGAGGCCAGTACTTTGGGAGGATAAGGTGGGAGGATCACCTGAGCCCAGGACTTTGAGACCAAACTGGGCAACACAGTGAGACCCCATCTCTACAAAATATAAACAGAACTATGAGCGTGCATGCCTGTAGTCTCAGTTACTAAGGAGACTAAAGTGGGAGGATGGCTTGAGCCAGGAGGCTGAGGCTAGAGTCAGCCGAGATCACACCACTGTACTCCAGCCTGTGCAACAGAGACCCTGTCTTGAAAGAACAGAAGAAAAAGAAAGGAAAACTTACATCAAGTTGAAGAATGAATTTTAAAAATCAGAAGGCCAAAACACTTTTATAGATGGAAGGAATCCTAAGATATCATTTTTCTCTCTATATGAGGAGAGGATCAAAGGGGTTATGTAATTCGCTCCATGTTTTGTAAATGAATACATTAAGATCAAGAGTATTCAAAATAAGTGTTTCTTTCAGTGTTCTTTATAACAATGTTTTCCTGTTGCAATTACTAATTTCTTAAAAAATTACTAGATTCTAGGAGGAGGATACAGAGAGGAAACAGCTTAAAGGGAAACAATTATGAGTTAGTGCTACCCCCCACAACATAAACACAAAATTCTACTTGCACTGGCATGAACACAGACCACCGTAGCCTCAACCTCCAGGACTCAGGCCATCCTCCCATCTCAGCTGCCTGAGTAGCTGGGAACACACGCATGTTTATCATTATACTCAGCTAATTTTTCAATTTTTTGTAGAGATGGGGGTCTGTTGCCCAGACTGGTCTTGAACTCCTGGGCTCAAGCGATCTCTCACCACAGGCTCCCAAGTAGCTAGGACTAAAGGCTTGCACCATGATGCTTGTCTAACTTTTTTTTTTTTTTTTTTAAGAGGCAGGATCTTGCCACGTTGCTCAGGCTGGTCTCGAATTCCTAGACTCAAGTGATCTTGTCACCTCAGCCTCCCAATCTGCTGGAATTACAGGCAAAAGCCACCATGCCTGGCGTGATAACCTTAAGAATAAAAATGGAAACCATACCAATATATCTGCCAAAGGATATCCATCAATTTTAATTTTTTCCTCCAGTTACAAAATACAGGAGGAAATGAAAGCCCAAGGAGGTTAAATGTGTAGCCTAAACATAAAGACAAAGAAAGTTATCTGAGTGTTATATCCGGTTATTACCTTGTGCATGATTATCTTTCTTTGAGCAGGTTCAGCCATATCAATCATCTTTTGAACCACATAATTGGCATACTGGTCCTTCATCATGGTGTATAAGGCACTGTGAGGACCATCATTCTGGCAGCAAACCTCGTCAATCAGTAAAGCTCTCTCAGCACGGGAGGCATGAGTAACACACTTTTCTACTACATTGCTAAAAATTAAAGCAGATAAACAAAGCTTTGTTATTTTTTTCTTTACAGCAAAATTTCCTTGACTTTTGAAAGAATTTTCTCCAATGCACGATAAAACGGAAGTCAGAATGGGATTCTCTTATGATTACTTTTATTTTATTTTGTTCTTTTTTTTGAGACAGGGTCTTGTTCTGTCACCCAGGCTGGAGTGCAGTGATGCTATCACTGCTCACTGCAGCCTTGACCTCCCTTGCTCAAGTGATTCTCCCACCTCAGTTTCCCTCACAGCTGAGACTACAGGCATGTGCCACCATGGCTGGATAATTTTTTGTAGAGAAAGGATTTCCTTCTATGTTGCCCAGGATGATCTCAAATTCCTGGGCTCAAGCGATCCTCCTGCCTCTATCTCCCAAAGTGCTGGCTGGGATTTACACGTGTGAGACACTGCACCCAGCCAACTACTTTTATAACAGAAATTGGTATCACGGAACGACCTACATAATTTTGACATCCACAAGTTTAATTATGGGTCTCTTAAAATTGTACTTCAAAAAAAGGAAACCAGATCATTAAAGCTGTGAGGTTTTCAAGAACATGTACTAAATAAATCTGCATTTCCGGTGTTGGGAAAAATTATTTTCCAAATACAGATTTCAAAAATGAACATACATGGGCAAAACAAATTTGTTACTTTTTTTTTTTAATAAAAGCAATGTTCTATAGATGCATTTTAGTGACACCAAAAAAAAAAAAAAAAAAAGACTATAGTTTAATGCTACGCTCTACATGTATTTCTGTGATAACTAATAAAAGTCAATGAATTGAAAGAATTGACCCCTGAAATTACAACGTATCCCAATACCTGGCAAATTTGTGTTGACTCAGGGCTAAAACCTTTCCTCTGATTTCGGAAACAATTTTGCTCTTGTCTTCAGGTCGACCATGTTCCAGTACATGCTGAATAACATAATTGCCATACTGATCCTAAGACAGATATTTAAAAATTACTTTCCCCAAGTCATTCCTTAAGAATGATTATTCTTTAAAGACATGTTAACCATTTCGTCTAAAAATCCAGTAGTATAGTTAGGAGAATACAACCGGCTTTTGTCTCACTCTTTCTATAGTGTGTTTAATAACAAACTATATTTCTTTTAAAAATTAAAACAGGTTCCAAAAATATATAAACATTTCAAATTATTAGGTAATGTATACCTGTACCAACTGCTCTGTATGTTGGTGGAGTTCTTCTAAGATAGGTAAGGTCTGTTCTGCAGTGCAATGTTCTAGGATGCGCTGAATTACCCTACAGCCGTAAGGATGAGTTGAAAGCACAAATACCTGAGGACAATTAGAAGAATTAAAATTTGTATTCTCTGACATTTTTGCACAGTTCTATGAAGCAGACTGTTTTTTTTTCTTTTTGACACCTCAAAGTAATGTAAAATAGAAGGGTGATGAACTCATATTTAATATGACTACCACCATGTTAGCAAAGACTGGAGAGTGGGGACAGGGAGCACCCTATTTAGGAGCTGAAGATACTTTGATCAAAAGGAATCTAAATCAGAACTTTACCTGAACCTGAATTTATGTAACAATGGGAATGAATGGGTGAAAAGAGAAAGGGTAGTTTAGCATTAAGAAATATTAATTACTAGGGTATTAGTTACAAATTGCTATATGTTTTCTGTCTTATTATACAGTCTTAAGTCTTTCTCCAAACCTCCTTCCCTTCTCTGAGTAAACCTGGTAACACTGTTGGGTATAAATAAAAAATAATTCTAACAGTGATTACTTTTACTTCTTGAAGTAATGTGATTAAACTCTTATTTCTGTTTTGTAGCTTCAGAAAAATGAAGCTATCTACTGACTATGAAAGAGGAAGACATTAACGTACATTTACTGTTTTGTATCCTATTTTTGTATACAAGTGCTGGGTATTATCTAGTGACTTACGAAAAATGTGTTGATACTCAAAATTCTAAAATAATGCCCTGCTAACAAATTATAAGCCAAAACTCAAACATACTTGTCCCTTGAAAGCATCAATGATGAACTGCAGTGACTGTGGCTGAACACATTCGATACATTTTTGTACAACATGGTTTCCATTCTGATCTTTCACACATTTGAGCACATGACCATCCAGCTCCTTTACCATTTCACTCTGCAAAAGACAGGATGTTATTTAAATAATTAACTAAAACGAGAAAATACTAGTATGTTTTATCTCAGAATTAAAAAAAATACTAAAAATAGTATATTTATCTCAGTATTAAAAATACTGAGATGGGAACAAAAATATATTTAAACATTATTTCCTGTTTGTCATGAGTCTAAATATTTTTCTCTTGCAGTATAATTAGCAGAAACCATTGAAAAGTGAAAATTACTAAAACATACTGCAGGATTACAATGTAAATGATCTATGTTGAAACAACGTAGTGATGCTGAATTTGCTGTATTTAAACTGTCTTCACCGTGTAAATCATCTGTTAGTATTTATCGGTGGTAACTAACATGACTAATCCAGAATTCTACACTTTTGCCTTACTTAGTACCACCTCCACCACCAAAGCAATTATTTTTAATGGCTGAGTGGGTTTATCAAATACATAGAAAAGGGTAAGAAGTTGATGACTACTTATGGGCTATGTGATTTTTACATAGTACCTCAATAATTCCCTAAGGGAAGAATTAATGTCAGACTTCTTTGTTCTTTTATAAAATGCTGTTATAATAAAGTGCTTAGGGGCAGGTGAGGTGGCTCACACCTGTAATCCCAGCATTTTGGGAGCCTGAGGCTGGTGCATCACCTGAGCTCAGGAGTCTGAGACCAGTCGTGCGACATGGTCCCGGCCACTACCAAAAATACAAAAAACTAGCTAGGTGTGGTGGCGCATGACTGTGGTCCCAGCTACTTGGGCGGCTGAGGTGGGAATTCCTTGAGCCTGGGAGGCAGACGTTGCAGTGAGTTGAGACTGTGCCACTGCACTCCAACCTAGATGACAGTGTGACTCCGTCCCAAAAACAAAACAAAAAAACTGTAAAACTTCATATAGCTTTTAATATTGATAAAATAATCTGTGTGCCTTATTAGAGCAATAAAAAATAGTACTGTGGAGAAATGGAGTACACATACTCAGTCTAAAGGTATTCACATTTAAAATATCTTTCACCTACAGGACTTTCAACTACATTTTGAAGCAACTGCGGTGAATCCTGTTAAGTCAAGCTATAATACAGATGTTTAATTACGAACTAAAATCACTGGGTGCGATAGCTCATGCCTGTAATTCCAGTCCTTTGGGAGGCTGAGGTGGGTGGATCACTTGAGGCCAGGAGTTCAAGACCAGCCTCGCCTTCATGGCGAAACCCCATCTCTATTAAAAAAATACAAAAATTAGTCAGGTGTGGTGGCTCACGCCTGTGGTCCCAGCTACTCGGGAGGCTGAGGCACGAGAATCAACTGAACCCAGGAGGCAGAAGTTCCAGTGAGCCGAGATCGTGCCACTGTACTCCAGCCTGGGTGATAGAGTGAGAGACTGTCTCAAAACAAAACAAAACAAAAAAGCCTAAAATGGACTAAATTACAAAATAAAACATGCTTAAGAATCCAAAGGCTGGCGAGGTGGCTCATGCCTATAATCCCAGCACTTTGGGAGGCCAAGGTGGGTGGATCACAAGGTCAGGAGTTCAAGACTAGGCTGGGCCAACATGGTGAAACCTCCTCTCTACTAAAAATACAAAAATTAGCTGGGTGTGGTGGCGCGTGTCTGTAATACCAGCTACTTGGGAGGCTGAGGCAAGAGAATCGCTTGAACCTGGGAGGTGGAGGTTGTAGCGAGCCAAGATTGCGCCACTGTACTCCAGCCTGGGAGACAGAGCGAGACTCCATCTCAAGGGGAAAGAAAAAAAAAAGGAATCCAAATACTGTTATTCATTAACTGTATCAACAAAGACTTACTCCTAATGCTTTTTATTTAAATATCAGACATTTAAAAAATATCTATGCCAATTAGAAACTTGTGGCAGAAGTTTCTAAGCTTTTAAATAATTAAATGTGTTTATATTTCTCCATTGTCACATACCTTAAAATTACTGTAAAACTCAGAATTTCCTTTGGAGGAATAATAGTATTTTCTCACAGATTTTAATGCAGTGATGAATATATACACATATATAGCCATCCATCCATATATTACTATTTATTGAAATTTACTTTTATTGTATGAGTCAAAGACAATCTCTTTCCAAACTTAAACTACCATTACCTTTTAAGAAATAATTATTTCCTTCAGTCTTATGCTTTCATTGTAATAAATAAAGCATATAGTCAGAAAACTGTACTGATTTGGGGCTATAAATTTATTATTAAAAGTCTGTTTAATCTTATACAATAACCCCACTAATTAGTGTTGCTTCACAGTGTATTTTAAAAATCTGGTGGATCAGCATTTATCTTCATCCCCTACTCTTAATATTCTTGTCTATTTCAAATGATTTAAAGCATTATTTTGATCAATAATTCCTTTATTAATGTAAAATATTTAGACTTTCCATCCAATAACACAGAATATTTCTCATTTAATTTATGTGTTCTCGTTTTTCTCAACAAATTATACCTTTTTAAAGAGAATTCTTAAGTTACTTTTTTGCTGGGCTATATATTTACTTAAAAAAATTTTCATATATATAAATAAAACTGACATATAGTAATGCTATTGGTTTCAAAAATTTTCTTATAATAGAAACATCAGACACCATCAAAATAAACACTGGAAAATAGTAACATGCATTCTCACATTGCAGAAAATCAAGTAAGCAAGTAGTAATAAAAACACTCATCATTTAACATTCTGCTTGCCACATAGGTGCTAAAATATCTTCATTTAGAAATTATCTACTTTGTGACTTCTAATTAGTAGTGTGCTATTTAGGACACAGTAACAATATTTTAGTCTAGTTGTGGAAATATTTAAGTCATTTTACTTCAAGATTATTGTAAGATTAAAAATGTAATAATTTAAAAATTGAATAAAATAATACAAAAATTTTGTCTTAACTTACAATTACCTGCTGGTCAGAAGAAATAGATTCTAATGCTTTCTGAATAACGCGGCAGCCATACATCTGCAAGGCTAAGGGTAGAACATGACCACGAATACGAGTAGCCAGGGCTAGTTTTTGATCCAGACTCCCAAACTGACAGAAAAGATATAACATTAATAACAAGTGACCTTAATATTGCTTTGTTGAACTTGAGTAAGGCAGTGTTTGCAGTCTATTCAATCTATTAGTAATTATGCAGGGCAGGGGCTTTAAGGTAGAAGCTAATTAAGATAGACCAGGAGATGTTTGCAATAATAATTTTATTACTTTTTTGGGTTAAGTCTTACTACAATTTCCTTATTACTAATATGTTAACTACCTTTTAAAGTAACACTTTTAAAGTGAACATTTTTACAAAACCCTTCATCTTTAATATATAACTTTCTTAGCCACATATTGACCACCAAAACTCTCACCCAGATAATCATCAAACTACATTCTGATATGATTGAGGAAAAAAACTTTTAAGTCAAGCTACAACACAGATGTTTATAGATTTAAAAATTGGCTAAACTGTAAAATAACACATATCTATAAATCTAAAGACTGTAGTGTTATTCATTAACTACTTCATCAAAGAGTGACTACCAATGCTTTATATTTTCAAATATGAATTGGGATTAAAAGGAAATTTTCATTTAAAGTGGTTCATGTTAACATTTTTTTGTGACAAACTATGTCATTTGAACCATTTCTAGCTAGGTGATTCAGTAGCATTAATTACATTCACATTGTTGTGCAACCACCATCACTATCTGTTTCCAAATCTTTTCCGTGGCCTCAAACACAAATGCTGTATCCATTAAACGGTAACTTTCTAAACCCTTCTTCCTCTAGGCCCAGTAAGCCCTAATCTTCTTTATGCCACTATTAGTTATTCCAGACATTTCATACTGGTAGATCAGTATCAATGTTTGTCCTTTTGTGTGTGGCTTATTTCATTTAAGTTAGTATATTCAAGGTCCATCCATGTTGTAGTATGTATCAGAACATCATTCCTTTTTATGGCGGAATAATATTCTACAATGTACACATATACCACTTGTATTTATCTATCTGTTGATGGACGCTTGGGCTGTTTTCGTCTTTTGGTTATTGTGAATAATGATGCAATGTATACTGGTGTTCAAGTTCCTGTTTTCAATTCATTCTGGTATACCCCTAGGAGTACAATTGCTGGGTTGTATGGTAATTCAATATTTAATTTTAAGAAACTGCCAAAGTGTTTTCCATAGCAGCTACACCATTTTACATTTCCACCAGCAATTTATGAGGGCTCTAATTTCTCCATATCCTCATCCACATTTGTTATTTTCTGATTTTATGTTTTTTGATTACAGCCATCTTAGTAGGTATAAAGTGCTATCTCATTGTGAGACTGATCTGCATTTCCCTGATTAGTAAGGATGTTGAGTGTCTTTTCATGGCCTATTTGGCCTTTTGTATTATTTTACATAGAGAAATGTCTGCAAGTCTTTTGTCCATTTGTCATTTGGGTTGTCTTTTTGTTGTTGACTTTTAGGAGTTCATTATATATTCTGGATAAAATGTTTATCAGATATATAATTTGTAAATACCTTATCCCTGGCTTATTATCTTTTTTATATGAAAATGATTTTAAGCCGGGCGCGGTGGCTCAAGCCTGTAATCCCAGCACTTAGGGAGGCCGAGACGGGCGGATCACGAGGTCAGGAGATCGAGACTCATCCTGGCGAACACGGTGAAACCCCGTCTCTACTAAAAAATACAAAAAACTAGCCGGGCGCGGTGGCGGGCGCCTGTAGTCCCAACTACTCGGGAGGCTGAGGCAGGAGAATGGCGTAAACCCGGGAGGCGGAGCTTGCAGTGAGCTGAGATCCGGCCACTGCACTCCAGCCTGGGCGGCAGAGCGAGACTCCGTCTCAAAAAAAAAAAAAAAAAAGAAAATGATTTTAACCAACTTTCAGAGCTTTTCTTAATATCAAGTATACAACAGCTGGATGGGTGGATATACAAATATGCATGAATGCTTACCTCAAAAAACTTCTGTATAACATAGTTGCCAAAAACATCAGTCATTAATTGATAGGCTGCTTGCAGAATTTCATTAAATACCATCTGTCGCTCAGCTGGAGTAGCTCTCTCTAACTTTTGCTGTATGAATCTACATGGGGAAAAATTTTAATATGACAATATGTTTTTTAACTCTTACTTGAGTATTATACCCTACCCTTCCACATATATGCACTGCAAGTTATTTCCAGAAATATTAACATACTTTATATAGTGGACAGCTAACTTACAGCAAAAAGGACAAAAGTTATATAGCATTTCTTTGTAACACTTTATCTACTAGAGTGACAAAAAACTTGGATTTTTATCTTTCCTAGGTTAGTTTGGTTACATTATAATCAATAAGAAAATTACATACATTTTGCTGTTTATTCATTCATTTTTTGTAATATACCAATGTATTACTAAACATCTAACTTTTAGAACATAATAAATGAAACCCTTAGAAGTAAAATTCTTCCAACATGAATGAATTCCTAACCAAGACAGCCATTCTGGGTGATACAAGGCTCATTTGTTACTCTGAAGGAACTGCCAACTAGTCATGCGTTGCTTAACGACATTTCAATTGACAATGAGCCACATATACAATGGTGGTCCCATAAGATTATAATGGAGATAAATTCCTATTGGGTAGGAACTGTCATAACATCACAGTACAATACATTACTCAGGTGTTCATGATGACATAACCCTACTGCACTGTCAGTTTATAAAATCATAGTATGGCTGGGTGCAAGTGGCTTACCCATGTTATCTCAGCACTCTGGGAGGCCGAGGTGGCCGGATCACCTGAGGTCAGGAGTTCGAGACCAGCCTGGCCAACATGGTGAAACCCTGTCTCTACCAAAAATATAAAAATTAGTCTGGCATGGTGGCAGATGCCTGTAAGCCCAGCTACTCAGGAGGATGAGGCAGGAGAATCACTTGAACCCAGGAGGCAGAGGCTGCAGTGAGCCAAGATCATGCCATTGCACTCCAGTCTGGGTGACAGAGTGAGACTCCGTCCCCCAAAAAAAAAAAAAAAGTATAATACATACAATTGTGTACAGTGCATATCTGATAATAAACAACTGAGTTACTGGTTTGTGTATTTAGTATACTTTTTATTGTTATTTTAGAGCGTACTCCTTCTACTTGTTTAAAAAAAAAAAAAAAAAAAGCAAAACACCCTCAGGTAGATCCTTCAGAAAGTATTCCAGAAAAAGGCACTGTTATCATAGGAGATGACAGCTCCATGGGTGTTGCTGGCTAAAGATCTCCTAGTGGAAGAAGACATGGAGTTAGAAGAGAGTGATATTGATGATCTTTACTCTTTATAGGCTAATGTGTGCATTTGTGTCTTAGTTCTTAACAAAAAGTTTAAAAAACCGATAAAAAGAAAAAGTCTCATAGAATAAGCATATAAAGGAAACATCTTTGTACGGCTGTATAATGTGTTTCTGTTCTAAGCTAAGTGTTATTACAAGAGTCAGTAAGTTAGCTCAAATGTTACAGTAAACTCAGCCTGGGCAACATAGTGAGACCCTGTCTCTACAAAAAAATTTTAAGTAATTAGCCAGGTGTGATGGTGCGTGCCTGCAGTCCCAGCTAGTCGGAAGGCTTAGCTGGCAGGACTGCTTGAGCCCAGGAGGTTGAGGCTGCAGTGAGTGATGATCATACCACTGTATTCCAGCCTGGGCAACAGAGTAAGACTCTGTCTCAAAGCGGGGAGAAGTTACATTAGGGTTAATTTATTATTGAAGAAAAAAAGTTTTAAATAAATTCAGTGTAGTTGAAGTGTACAGTACAGTGTTTGTAAAGTCTAGAGGAGTGCAGAGTAACATCCTATGCTTTTGCATATACTCACAACTGACTCACTCACTTACTCACTCACCCAGAGCAACTTCCAGTCCTGCAAGCTTCATTCACAGTAAGTGCCCTACACAGGTATATGATTTTTAAATCTTTTACACTATAGTTCTGCTGTATCTTTTCTATTGTTTATTATGCTTAGGTATACAAACACCATTGTTACAAACGCCTACATTATTTAGTACAGTAACATGCTGTACAGATTTGTAGCCTAGGCGCAATATACAGAGTAGGTGTGTAGTAGGTACACTCTGTAATGTTCACACAACAACACATTTTCTAGAATGTATCCCCATCGTTAAGTGATGCATGACTATATAGAGAGACAAAATTTGTATGCCATCTAATCTAAAACGACTTAAAAACTTGAGGTTTACCTTAAAGCTATAAAAAGAGAAAATATCTTAAATTTATTAAACGTGTTACAATTCTATTTTCCTTTCTAAGCTATCTTGACAATGTTAATTCAGATGTATCTCTCATGTATCACATTCATTTTAATGTAAAAAGGCACCAAATTTTCCTATAACAAATGTGAAATATTTCAACCTAAGCCAAGTCACACTGAATACCAACCTATAATGCAGCACAAAGGCATTTAACATTGCTTGCTGTATTTTTTAAACACACGAGGGTCACTTAAGCCCACAAATGTAATAGAGCTGATGTAATCAAAATAACCCAATGAAGGGGGCCCTGCTATATTCTCATCATAACAATATTCACACTATAAAAAACCGGAAAACTATAAAAAATTAAAACCTGTATTTTTGTAATTTATCCCAACATGAAAGAAAAAACACATAATCCAAACTGAATTTTAGCTCTTAAAAGCTGCCAATTTTAATGCAGACTGGGCTAAGGATAGTTCAGAAAAATTTAAGCTTTTATAAGGTAGCAGTTTCCAAAGCAAAAATGAAGTGAGAAATATCATAATCACCTACCTAGAACCATGCTGGTCTTGAGAAAACTCAACTATATGTCCAATCAAGTCTCTAAGTTGAAGGTTCGGGAAGCGGTTGTTTCTGAAATCTTCCAATAATCTACTGCGGCCAGAAGGCATAATATCAGACCTATTATACCGAAGCCGGGAAGGAGGAAAGAGCTGGCTGCTGGAGCTAAATAGACTGGAAGTGCTTGAAGCACTTCGATATTTTGCTTCTGCTCCAGGTGCTGCAGAGATATATCGACCACTACCATTTGTCAGTCCTCCTACAACAAAGCAGCTATGGTCAGCAAGTATTTTTGACAAGTTATTCCTCAAATAAAATTTACTTTAGCTACAAATTCAGTCAATAAAGAAATATTTCCCCCCACTAATTCCTACTTGTTAGGAAAGAAAATTAAAATTGGGAGGGGAAAATCTCACCCATATACCTCATGTATGTGGCTATATGATAAAGAGACTAGAAAACATGAGAAAAATAAGTATTTGTTTTTCAGCAGCTTAGTTTAGAACTTAATTATATGATCTAGTGTCATATGCACTCTTATCAATGCCAGAACACTGAAACCACCAACAAAATTTTCAGTTACATTAACAAGCAAGTTTAAATTGCTAGCAAACTTACATTTTAAGCCACTGAAATAGACTGAAATTCATTAACATTATTAACACAGTAACACTGACTGTTAAATCTGTACTTTTTGCATTCGGTCATATATACTTCCATGTAAAGATAAATCAATTATTAGTTAAACCACGGATGGTATGAACTTTAAAAAGCCACAATATTAGGTAATAAATTTAAATTATACACTATTTTAAGATTTAAAATTTTTTATTTAAAATATTTGACATAAGGTCGGGCATGGTGGCTCATGCCTGTAATCCCAGCACTTTGGAAGGTCGAGGAGGGCGGATCATGAGGTCAGGAGTTCGAGACCAGCCTGGCCAACATGGTGAAACCCTGTCTTTACTAAAAATACAAAAATTACTCAGGTGTGGCGGCGGGCGCCTGTAATCCCAGCTACTTGGGAGGCTGAGGCAGGAGAACTGCTTGAACTCAGGAGGCGGAGGTTGCAGTGAACCAAGATCACACCACTGCACTCCAGCCTGGGTGACACAGCAACACTCTGTCTCAAAAAAAAAAAAATATATATATATATAAAAAATGTATTTTATTTTAATATAGTTATATATGAGAATGACATAAAGCCACTATTTCACAAACCAGAGTATTAATCAACAGCAGTTATTATTCCTAGAGCCTTATCATTTACAAATGAATAAAAAACATCTTTAACTTATGTTCCATTCCAAGAAAGAAAATCAAAGAGCAGTCAATAGAAATAAAAATAAATACATGCAGGAAATTTTTAAAATTACAATTAACAGTTTAAAAGTACTTGACAGTGTCCTTTTAAAAAAGAAAAATGTATAGATAGTTGTAAAATACACATTAGTGGAGTTCAGAAAAACAAAATGCACTACCAACATCATGCTATTATTATATGCAAACTCTATGCAGAGTAGTACTATATATACAATCCAGGCCACAGGGTAGAGATGGTCCCAAGGACACACTGTCAGTGCAAAGCTAAATGGAAGTATTAGAGGTTGAAAAGAACTACAAGGACAGAGAGCAGTAAAATAGTCAAATCCTGGAGGGTAAATTGGGTTAGAATATTCCTCTTTCACTTTCTGCCCCTATTGTCCTAACTTTACTTTTCTTCATTGAACTTCCCATTACATAGCATAACATGCATTTATTTATTTGAATCCCCAGTACCATCTCCAATACAAGAGCCATAAAATTACATTAATCTACATGCTAGCTACCTGGTGCCTAGAACAATGTCTAGACCAGCCTGACCAACATGGTGAAACCCCATTTCTACTAAAAATACACAAAAAATTAGCCGGGCGTGGTGGCGTGCACCTGTAATCCCAGCTACTCAGGAGGCTGAGGCAGGAGAATCGCTTGAACCCGGGACACGGAGGTTGCAGTGAGCAGACTGTACCACCGCACTCCAGGCTGGGTACCAGAGCGAGACTGTCTCAAAAAAAAAAAAAAAAAAAAAAAAAGTATGTAATTTAACAAGCTATCTTACACACCAAAATCTCTAAGATCAAATTCTTGTTTGGTCTAGTTACATATAACTATCTCAGCACCCATTTATGATATTCAAAACGCTCAAGAGTTCAGTGTTTCAATACGGTCTCAAGACTGCCAGTCTTTCCGCTTCCATTATTTGTTTACATATTTCCAACTGTTCATAATAACTGATCACTAGCCCATCTGATTCTTTATAATTGGGTCCTTATCACATCCTGCACAGCCACTGGGTTTTCTCTAGCATCCTTGTCCTTTCTGAAGGGCAGGGGTGCTTTGCTTATCATTTCAATCTGGTTAAAATTTTTTTTTCTTAATCAGCTGACTTTCAGATTCACCAATCCATTTTTATACACACCAACCGTATTTTTCCTTTCAAAGTCCATTTTGATGTCACTTTATGATAAAAACCTACAGAATCCGGATACAGTATATGCTCTAAGATCTTCAACCTAGTTTTCAAGTCATTACTCCAAACCTATTTTTCACACAAATTTCTTAGTAGTACCCTAACTGTTCATACCCCCCGCCCACTTACTCGTTACTATTTCTTATCATTACCTCAAACATACCCTTAATGCATCAAAGATTTTCGACACCAAATTCAAAACACATACTCACCCCAGGAAATGAAGAAGCCGGTTTTATTTGGTACCTTCCAAATATCCTGCCAATAAGCAACAGGAATTTCTCCCGTATCTAGGTATTCTTTGATTTAAATTCTATCAGCTCCTAACAACAGAACTCCTGTGCACATGGTTCACAATATCTATCTAATACTACACTGTCTTGAATTTTAAAAAACCTTAGACATTCAGTTCTACAAGACTAAGTGGCCTTCTCATACACGAAATTCACAAATTTGGTGGCTCACGCCTATAATTCCAGCATTTTTGGGAGGCTGAGGCAGGCATATAGCTTGAGGTCAGGAGTTTGAGACCAGCTTGGGCAACATGGCAAAACCCCATCTCTACAAAAAATACAAAAATTAGCCAGGAGTGGTGGTGTGTGCCTGTAGTCCCAGCTACTTGGGGAGGGTGAGGTAGGGAGGATCGCTTGAGCCTGGGAGGCAGAGGTTACAGTGAGATGAGACTGTGCCACTGCACTCCAGCCTGGACAACAAAGCGAGACCTTGTCTCAAAAACAAAACAAAACAACAACCCCTACCTGCCCCCCAGCAAAACAAACAAACAAAAAAACAAAAAAAGAAAAGAGAAAAAAAAATATTATTCTCCAGAAACTAATTCACTTTCACCCAGGGAAGCATATCTTTTCTCTTATAAATAAGTATGTATGTAAAACCCAATTTAAAACATACATTAGACATTTTAAATTTCGTTATCTAAATATTGAAAGCAGGTCATCTAAAATATCTGGAGATTGAGGGATATTCTATAAAACAGGCCTATACCCTTTAAAAATGTCAAGGTCATAAAAAACAGAAATAGTTCAAGAAAAGAGCAGTGATGAAAGTAATCTGTGATCCTCAATTTGACAATGGACCCCAAAATCAATCTCCCTTTCTCTTTCTTATAAAGGTAATCAGTGAGGTAAGTAGCAAAGTTTGAATAAAGTTGGCTGTTTGATTAGTGGTTTATCAGTGTTAATTTCCTGACTTTAGTAATTGTGGTTTTATATGAAAACATATACTTACTGTCAACAAACATACACTAATGTATTTGAGTAAGGGACATCATGCCTGCAACTTCCTTTTTTTTTTTGAGACAGGGTATCACTCTGTTGCCCAGGCTGGAGTGCAGTGACACAATCTTGGCTCACTGCAATCTCTGCTTCCTGGGTTCAAGCGATTCTCCTGCCTCAGCCTCATGAGTAGCTGGGATTACAGGTGCGCACCACCATGCCTGGCTTGATTTTTGTATTTTTTTAGTAGAGACGGGGTTTCACCATGTTGGCTAGACTGGTCTCAAACTCCTGACCTCAAGTGATCGGCCCACCTTGGCCTCCAAAAGTGCTGAGATTACAGAGGTGAGCCACCACGCCGGCCCACCTGCAACCTCCTTTCAAAAGTAAGCCCAAATAGTGTTGTGGATGAGGGGAAGAAGACAGGGAGAGAGAATCATACAGCCAATGTGATAAAAGTGGCAACATCTGGAAAACATGGGTGAAGGGTATAGTTTTGCAATTTTCCCATTAGTTTCAAATTATCCCAGAAATAGTTAAAAACACACACACAAACAGATCATCATATTCATACTTCTGCTGCCGGTAGTCTAAAAGCAGTTATCTTCTGCACCAAAAGTATTAAAGAGATAAGGTCTTTTCATTTCATCATTCAGTCCCCACTACCATTCATGACTGTTTAATCACTATCTGCCTAAGAGTGTATATAGGACATGTAGATCAGTACTATAATTTCACAGATGAGGTCACTATGGTCCAATGGTCCAAAAGGTATGGGACATGCAGCTAGTCAGCCAAGACCCTTAGGCCAGAGCTTATCTCACATGACAGTGTGCCAATCTTCTGTGCTATTTACATCTTTCATGTTCATTCATGAGAACTTTAAAATAAAGGCAAACACAATTTTATTAGTAGAAATAACATGACTTTACAGGTTTTCATAATTTCTGAGAAGTCTGTTTTAGAATCCTTCCCTATTAAGTATCACAAGTCAAAGAGTATTAAAAAATACAGTTGTCTTTCAGTATGCATGGGGGATTGGTTCCAGGACGCACACAAAATACCAAAAATCTGTGGAAGCTGAACTCCAGCAGTTTGGGCCTATGTCACCTATGGATATGAACGGCAAGACCTCCAGATCTACAGGTTCCGCCTCCTAACCAAGGATGCAGAATCTGTGGAGATAAGGCAGGTCCTCTGCGGGGCAGGGGGTAGTGGGAGAGACTGTAAGTGAAATAACCACAAAATAATTAAATCTATCTAGCCTTCATTTTTCATTGTTTTCTACCCTCTGGGATTGGAAAGACAGCTACTCAATCTATCAGGCCTGTATATTCTTCTAAGAATAGAGATTCCTGACCCTTACTTAAAACATACATAATTACTCCTTCTGGATAAATTAAAAAAAAAAAAATCTACCTGAAAGATATTCTGATATGAGAGTATGGGGACTAATTAATTAGAATAAAAATAATTTAATGTTTCATTTTACAACAGATTTTCAACTACTAATTG